CCGCGGCAGACAGGGCCAGACAGCCCAGCGTGGCGGCTTTCACGCTGCCGCAGGAAGGCGGCTTCCCGTGCAGCCGGAAGCAGGAGACAGCAGCACTGCACTGCACAGCAGCCACCATCAGCAGGAGGATGGCCGCCTCCGAGGCGAAGACGGACAGGAAACCGGTCACCCTGCAGCCGGCGCCTGACTCCCACCTGGCCCCGTATTTGGCGAACTGGCCGTAGGTCAGGGCATCGACGAAGGCCAGCATGCTGCAGTAGATGCCCGTCAAGGTATTGGCCCCAGCTATGGAGCCAATGATAAATTTGACTGGTGAGAGGTAGCTGGGCGAGGCGAAGACGGCCAGGCTGACCAGCCCATTGCAGAGTATGGAGACCAGCGCGATGGCCCACACCCCCAGGCGGATGATCCAGCTCTCAAACAACTGATCGCAAGGCTTAAAGGGACCTGTAAGAACACGAGTCCCAAAATTATTGGTCCTGCTTAGAGCATCACTGATATGGCAGAGCTACCATGCAGATGCAGATCAAAACAAATGCACATCTGAGAGCACCTCTTATCCCCGGAGTTGTTCCAGGATCTCTGTGCTTCCCCTTAGCTCTGCCCCCATGTCCTCTCCCTCCAGCTGCCTAGGGAGGTCCAGTGCTGCCCAGCAGATAAGATCACGATGTGGGTAAGTAGGAGGCAGATGTTCCTGAGCAGGACAGGGCGTGCAGAAGGAGGGAGGGCTGTGCTGGCATCCAGGTGTATAGTCCCAGGAGGTGTGACTTAAACGTCAGCCCTTCACTCTGACCTGACATGGTTATGGCACGGAGCTGATCTGTGTATGCTAATGGCAACTATCTCCATTGGCTGGAGGAGGTGCGAGTTCTGAATGACTACTGCGAGTTCTTTCCCCGGTGTCTGGCTGGTGGGTCTTGCCCACATGGGCAGGATCTAACTCAGGGGTGGGCAATACAGTTTGGTGGGGGGCTACTCCAAGATTTTGGAAAGTGGTCAGGGGCCGCAGTTTTCTATAGAGGGGGTGTGGGGTCTAGGATGGAGGTTGGGTGGAGGAGGTGGTTGTGACCTGGGTCAGGGGATTGGGGTGTAGGGCCAGGGAGGGAGTATGGGTGCAAGAGAGGATTCTGGCCTGGGGGAGGGACTCTAGGAGGTGAACATTTTGGGAGGGAATTGTGACCTGGGAGTGTAGACTGCAGAGGGTTTGGGTGGTGACCTGGGGCAGGGGAATGGGATGCAAGGTCTGGGAGGGTGTTGGGTGCAGGAGAGGGTTGTGGCTTGGGGAAGGGGGGTAGGAGGAGGTAGAGGGTCTGGGAGGGAGTTGTGACCTGGGGCAAGAGGGTGCAGAGGGTTTGGATGCTAAGCTGGGGAAGGGAGTTGGGGTGCAGGAGGGGCAGGGCTGTCAGAGGCAGGCTCTGGCTCGGAAACGCTTACTTAAGTGTCTCCTGGCCAGCAGCCCTACAGCTCCCCTCCTCCCCCCCCCAAGGCTGGCTGGACTCCCTGCCTGCTCCAGCCCTGCACCCCTTGAAACTACAGGCTGTTCCCTCCACATGGCTCTCAGCTCCGGGAGGGGGAGGAGGCTTGTGCTGCCCCCATCTCCCAGGCCGATCTCTCAGCCAATTGGAGCCGGGATCAGTTCCTATTGGCTGGTTGTTTGCAGCCAATAGGAGCTAAGGATTGGGCTGGGGGAGCTCACACACAGCCTCCTCCTACCTGCAGAGCAGAAAGCTGCTTTAAACTGCGGCAGCTGAGTGCCTGAGGGTCCCGGCAAGGTGGTGTGCGGGCTGGATCCAGTGGCCTGGCGGGGGGGTTTTTTGCCCAGCCCTGATCTAACTGCCATATTTGAGACCAGGAAGGAATTTCCCCCCTGAAGTTCAGGATTAGCTTCTGCAAAGCAACTCACATATGTGTGAGCCTTGGGTGAACATGTGATCCTCTGGCTGCTTTGTGTGGTACAGTGTAGGGGGAAAGGGTTTGGGCTGCTGCTTCCTATGCTAGTGTGTGATGGGACCAATCCAGTCCTCTCTTCTGCAGGGTCAGTTAGGCGTCCTAGGCATGGAACCTGGCACAGGGACAGGCTGGAGATGGGTGGAGCTGTGTAGAAGAGTGGGGCTACCCTGACTCATCCCTCTCCACTTGGGAGGACACTAGCTCCATGGCTTCAGCCTGGGAAAAAGGAATCCCACCGCTGACACCAGCAGTCAGCCTGGATTCTGGTCCATGTATATATGCAGCGGGATGTAGGAAGGGTGTGGGAGTCAGCTGCCTTAAAAAGACCTCGAGTCTTATTTCTGTGCTTTAGAGGAGGGGTCTTCCCTCGGCTTGCTGCTCACCAGGGCTGGGTGTGCACTGGATGGTGGTGTGCAGCTTTGACTCCTCAAACTCCAGCTGAAAATCGTCCATGTCCAGATCATCTAGACAAGAAAAGGGAAAGTGAACTCAGAACACTAGACGGCAGGGACACAAGGTCAGTGCCAGGCTGGTGTTGGGACGTTAGTACACGACCAGAAGAGACCACTGTGATCATCCACTCTGACCTGCATAAGGCAGGCAAGAGAACTTCCCTGAATTCATTCCTGTTTGAATTGGAGCAGAACTTCTAGAAAAACATCCCATCTTGAGTTAGCCATGGCCCATGTGGGAGAACCACACCACGACCCTTGGTGAGTTGCTCCAATGATTGACTGCCATCACTGATAAAGATTACACCTAGCTTCAGCGTCCAACCATTGGACATCGTTAGACCTTTGCCTGTTAGACCAAAGAGCCTGTTATTAAATATTTGCTCCCCGCATAGGCACTGAGACCTTGACTAAGTCACCCTGGACCTTCTCTCTGGACGGAGATCCACGCGGCTCTCACTCGAAGGCAGGTTCTCCAGCTCTTTCATCATTCTTATGGCTCTTTGAACTCTCTCCCACTGCCTGGATTTGTGAGACCCATCTGCAGGATTCAAGGGGACGTTGCGGTCTTGCTTGCCCTTTGTGTTCCTGTCTCTGGAGAAAGCTGTTGGGTTGGCAGGGAAGCCAGACCTCCCCCGTTTTTAAAACAAGTCTCACAATATTTGATATGTTCATTCGAACGTCAGCTCCCAGAGTCTGGCATTGGCCACTGTCGGAAGACAGGCTAATGGGCTAAATCAGTGTTTCTTAAATTGTGTTCTGTGGCACACTGGAGGTGTGTCGTAGAGAACAGAGTTCAAAAAAAGGGACAGGCAGCCCCCTCCCTTTTTTTTTGGCTCAACAACTTCCCCCGACTCCCCCCCCCCTTTTTTTTTTGCTCAATAATTGTTCCCCAACTTTTTTTCTCAACAAAACACACCCTTTGTGTTCTGCATTAAAAAAAAAAATTGTTTGGTGTTCCTCGGTCTTAAGAAACACTGGGCTAGGTGGGCCTTTGGTCTGACCCAGTCTGGCCATTCTTACGTGACTAGCCAATTAGCCCATCATAAGATTTTCAGGTCTCTCCTCCACATCGGTCTTCTCTCCTGAGCCTCCGATCTCTCGCTCCGTGTCTCTCTCTCTCTCTCTCTCTCTCTCTCTCTCTCCTTCCTGTCCCCCCCCCTCTCTCTCTG